TTTGATATATTTTTCATATATACATATATATGATATATATAAATATATGCAAAATTGATGTGGGTACTCAAATGAAAGCTCTTGATGATTGTAATATCGGGATGAGGTTACATCTTAAAAAATATCAATAATCAAGAAATGACCTTGTATCTTTTGAACTATTGACATTTTTTAAGATATAAGCTCATTCCGATGTTACACTCATCGAGTCCTTTCATTTGAGTACCCACATCAATTTTTCATATATTTTATATATTATATATATGTAAATATGAAAAATATATCAAAAATGTATGTGCGTAATCAAATGAAAGCTCTCGATGGGTGTAACATCGAAATGAGCTTATATCTTTAAAAATGTCAATATTTCACAAGATACAAGGTCATTTCTTAATTATTGATATTTTTTAAGATGTAAGCTCATCCCGATATTACACTCATCAAGAGCTTTCATTTGAGTACCCACATGCCCTGGCATATAAATACCCTGGCCACAAAATTTTGCTTATTCTCATAATAATATAGATTATTATTATTCTATTATTGATAATGTTGTTGATATTAATTCAGTGCTTACTTTTACTGAATAGCATAATACTATTGGTAACTTTAACTACTTGTGATGGTAAATGTAACCATCTCGATAGTAAATGGTACGATCGCTCTATTTTAGGAATTATTATTTATTATTGTATTGATTATAATTTAAATTGTTATATTTATCATTTTAACTTTTATAAAAGTAATTACTATCTAAGATAGTAAAATCTACAAAACAAGTATTGTTAGGGTTAACATAAAATTCTCTCCGTGTACTCATGAATTCATGGACAAGCACGTGGCGAATACTCACATTATAGATACATTTTACTCGTGAGTAGCCACGTTTATTTTTCATATAATTTCAATGTTTTTTTATTTTAAGTAATTTATTATTTCCTAAAATACTGAATTTCTTAAATACTTTCTTGTACTTAAATAAAAACTAATCAGCAAAATTTAAGAGAAAAATCAAGAAAATCTACATAAAATTGAGCACGATTTTTTTTTGCAATTTGTGTCGATTCTACATTAGCCGAAGGAACTTCGTTCCTACCTGGTGTCCCACGACACCACATCATTTTTTTTTATCTGAAATTTAATAAATTAAATTAATTATTATAATAAAATGTATTTTTAAAAGTATTAATTAATTAATTAATTATTTTTAATTGAATTAACAATTTTTAATTAAAAATTTTCAATAATTTAATGAACATTTAAGATTTTCTAAATTAAACGTTACTTTGAATAAAAAACAAAATTAATGCAATTTATTAAATTAAAGAAGAAATATTAATACTTACAATCAAATAAAAAATTTTTAATTAAATTATTTTATCAATTTAATTATTTCAAATTTAAAAAATTAAATTTCATCTGAAAGTAAAAAAAAAAAAAGAATTAATTAAAAATTAATTCTTAAGAAGATAAAATGATAATTAACGTAGCACATATTTGATAATTTAAAAAATTTTATAACAAATAAATTACAGCAAAAAAAAAGTTGACATTTAGAAATTTAAAAAAATAAAAAAATGCAATTTTTTAAAAATAATTTTTTGGAACAAATCTTTTTGTTAAATAAAATTAAAAAATTGTTAAGTGACTGCTAACTTTAATGTCATGAAGATAAATTAATTCTTACGATCAATAAAATATTTTAAATTAAATTGATGAAATAATTTAATTTAAAAAAATTTTAAAAATTAAATTTCATCTGAAATAAAAAAAAAAAAGAAAGAATTAATTAAAAATTAATTCTTAAGAAGAAATGTTAAATTAATACTTAGTTTTATCAAAAATTAACCACTGAATAATTAAATTACACTTATCTTAAAAATAATAATACAATAAAATTACAACAATATAATAATTAATAGCCAATATATTTAACAATAAAATAGTGACTATTTTATTTACACTCTAAATCAAAAAAAAAAAAAGAAGAAGTTCTTAACAAAATTATGTACAGTCTAATTAAACAGTCCTATTAAAAGAAAAATTTCCAATTAATAAAAATTGAAATTTATTTCTAAATAAATAACTAAAAATCATTCAGCACTGGGTTTCTGCTTGGAGGTCCTGGAGTTGGCGAGTTCCTCATCAAGGCGCTCTTTGGCCCTCACGACTTTGGACTGCAAATAAAAGGAGCCGCCGTTCTTGCGGTCGTTGGCTTCAAAGAACCGCTTGAAGTTGCTCTCGATGGCCTCCAGCTGATCGGGGTCCTTGAGGTTCTTGATATTCAGGATCTCCTTGGCTTCTTCGAGTGACAACCCGGTCCTGGCGGAAGCTGCGGCACTCTGAGCGCCCTTGGACCCGCCACCGGCTCGCCGAGCTGCTTCCTGACTGGCAGCCATCTCCTGGCGCACTGCTCGGGTAAACGCTTTGCCTACCACTTGACTCCCCAGGACTATTATTTGTATCAGGTACTTAGCCATTGATTAATTTTTTAATTTATTTAGATTTTTTTTTTTCACTGCTTTTAATTATTTTTTGTTAAATTATTTTAACCTCACTCACTCTGATTTCATGTTTTGGTTTTTATTTCTAGGTTAAGGACGGCTGTTGGACAACGTGAGTTTGTGATGGTAAAGTAAATTTTTATGATGCAATTTTTAGACATTTTTTTATCAGCTGGCATTTTTTTTTTTTAAGAATTATTTTATTAAAATTAATTTAGCAGATATTTTATAATTTTAAGAATTTTTTTTTAACAATTAAAAATTTTTAGAATTTTTTTTGTTGAAAAAATTATTAAAAAAAAATTTTCCTTTAGAAATTTATAAAAAATAGACTTGTAGAAATTTTAAAAAATTAAAAATTTAATTAATTAAAAATAATTCTTTAGAATTAATTAAATTGTTAAATAAAATTAAAAATTCATCAAGTGTGACAGCTAACTTTATTTTTATGAAAAAAATTTTTTTTTAATTTTCACTTGTGGATTTTTTTTAAATAAATTTAAATTTTATAATAATAAATTACCAATTCTAGTTTAAGAAATATTATTTTTGTAAAACAATTTTTTTTTTTTTTATTTAAAAATTGAAAAAAAAAAAACTTATAAAAATTTATTATTATCTTTAATAATAATTCACAATATTTTTCAGAAAAATTTAAAATTACCGTCGCCATTTTTAAGTTACATACAATTTTTGATGTAAGATGGCGGCAGCTTTAACTTTCTGTTGCTTTGACAGGTCCGCACATAAATATACATATACACAAAGTATATGAATATGAATGTGTGTATATATATAATAATAATCTGAAAATGAAAATATTCTGACAGAAAGTAAATTAAAATTAAATTACAAGTGCCCTTGATATAAAAAAAATTTAAACCAACATACCTTAAAATCTTCACCGCCAGTAATGTATTCATCTTACATATAATTAAATAAAAGTGTCATGTCTTGATAAAATAATAATTAAGACAATTACTATGTCATTAACCTCGATGAGCTGTAAAAATTTAACTTGTTTAAATTACAAAATAATAAATTATTTCTTCAGAAAAACGTAGTCCAAATTTGACAGGTGTAAAAATGGAAGAAATGTGCAGTATTAATAGTAATAATAAAATAAATTTTGTAAGTACTCCGGAATTAGATAGTATAAATAATCACAATGACAGTGATGATAAAATTACACTGACAGGTAAATATAAAATTATAATATAACAATAATTAGCAACCTTGCCATCACTATGTGACTTGTAAACTATAAATAAATGAAATTTTGCTTTATTAAATAATGACTTTTGTTAAATTGCACTGTACTTTCTTAAATATTGACATTTTTAAATATATAAGCTCATCTCGATGTTACACTCATCAAGAGCTTTCGTTTGAGTACCCACATGCAATTTTCATATATTTTTCATATATACATATATATAATATACATAAATATATAAAATATATGAAAAATGCATGTGGGTACTCAAATGAAAGGTTTCGATGAGTGTAACATCGGGATGAGCTTATATATTTAAAAATGTCAGTAGTTCAAAAGATAGCAATGTTAGTTCTTAATTATTAACAATTGTAAAGATATAAGCTCATCCTGATGTTACACTCATCAAGAGCTTTCATTTGAGTACCCACATGCAATTTTCATATATTTTTCATATATACATGTATATAATATATATAAATATATGAAAAATTGATGTGGGTACTCAAATGAAAGGTCTCAATGAGTGTAATGTCGGGATGAGCTTATATCATTAAAAATGTCAATAGTTCACAAGATATAGGGTAATTTCTTAATTTTGTATCTAGAGATAGACCATTTTCGAATCTAGCCTAAATACTTTTTATAATAAATCAATTGCCAGTGAGAATGATATGAAACCTTGAAAACTTTGCAATGACATTAAATTAAACAAAAAAAAAAAAAAAAACTATTATATCAGGTGACTATCCTGGACACAAAATTTTTCTTATTCTCTTAATAATATAGATAATAGTCTTCTGAAGATATGTAAAAAAAAAATTTTTTTTTTCAGATTCCATCAACAATGAAAGTACCAAAACATTCCAAGAAAATCAAACCAGCAACCTAGACCTGGACAAGGTAGAAATTTTATCAGAAATAGATAACTTAGATGTAGAAAATAAATTGCCAAATGAAGGTGAGCAGAGAAGTGAAAGTTTGCAGTTGAAGCATTTAGAAATCAATGACAGCTTGGACCCGCATAAGTCGCAATTATTGGTGACTAAGTTCGCTCATTCTAATTTGATCCAATCAAGTGTACCGCTGATCAACAAGAGCCGGAATTTGCTGAACTTCATCACGGAGAAGTCGACGAATATCATGGAGAAGGCGCTGCTGCCTCAGTACTTGCAACAGAAAGAACTGGCACAGAAGCTGGGCAATTGTGAGGAAGGGGAGAGTGCAGATCAGAAGACTGGAAGAGAAGATGATTTTTTGGAGGGTGGTAAAGAAGAAGTTGATACGGTGGAGGTCAATGGAGGAGAAATAGATTGTGGAAGATTGTTGGAAGAGCTTAGGAAAGTTTCAAGGGATAAAATTATGCTGGAGGAACGGATCAAGGAATTGGAAATAAATCAAGTGTCTAAAGTTAGTTTTTAAAGGTTTAATCTATATTATTAAGAGAATAAGAAAAATTTTGTGTCCAGGATAGTCATAATTAAAAAATGACCTTGTATTTTGAGAACTATTGACATTTTTAAAGATATAAGCTCATCCTGATGTTACACTCATCAAGAGCTTTCATTTGAGTATCCACATGAATTTTTCATATATTTTATATATTTATATATATATTACATATATGTATATATGAAAAATATATCAAAAATGCATGTGGGTAGTCAAATGAAAGCTCTTGATGAGTGTAACAACGGGATGAGCTTATATCTTTAAGAACGTCAATAATTAAAAAATGACCTCGTATCTTGTGAACTATTGACATTTTTAAAGATATAAGCTCACTATGACATTACATTCATCGAGACCTTTCATTTGGGTACCCACATCAATTTTTCATATATTTTATATATTTATATATATTACATATATGTATATATGAAAAATATATCAAAAATGCATGTGGGTAGTCAAATGAAAGCTCTTGATGAGTGTAACAACGGGATGAGCTTATATCTTTAAAAATGTCGATAATTAAGAAATGACCTTGTATCTTGAGAACTATTGATATATTTAAAAATATAAGCTCATCCCGATGTTACACTTATCGAGACCTTTCATTTGAGTATCCCCATCAATTTTTCCTATATTTATATATATATATATGAAAAATATATCAAAAATGCATGTGGGTACTCAAATGAAAGGTCTCGATGAGTGTAACACCAAGATGAGCTTATATCTTCAAAGATGTCAATAATAATATAGATTACCTTTAGTATCGACCTTTTTTTTGTGAATATATAAAATAGAATTTTTAAATTTATCAATGTAACTTCTTCAATTTTCCAGGAGCCAGTATCACCATCTATCGACAACCGAGATGCAACAATCTCCCGCCTAACTTCCGAACTGCGCAGCGCCCTCTCTCAGAAAGACGCTCTCCTCCATCAATACAGTTCCGCGAACAAAGAGCGCGAGAGTATGGTAATGAAGTACGCAATTTCTGAGAAACAGCGCTTAGACCTCCAGCGGAACCTGGAACAGTCTCACTCTCGTTTAAAGCAACTGACCTCCGACAATGAGGTTGTAACCTCAAAACTAAAGACAGCTTTCAATGAGCGCTCGCGAGTAACTCAAATGTTGGATGTAAAGTGCCGGGAATTAATCGACGCGCAAAAGGAACTCGAGAAACTCCGTGAAGATCTTGACTTGAGAGAGGTTAAGTTAAAATGGACGCAAGCTAAATTAAAATCTGAGCTGGTGTCTCACAAAGAAACCTCGGAGAAATTAGAAAAAGCGAGCTTGAAAATTAACGAATTAAAAGACGAGTGTGAAAATGTCCGCCGTGAGTCTTGCGAGTCGATAAAGAAGTTCCAGCAGTCGGAAGAGAACAAAGCAGTGACTCTAGATCACCAATTAAAGGAACAGCATGCGCGACTTATTTTGGAGCGCCATGTTGTTGAGGACAAGGAAGCTGAACGGTTGCAATTGTTGAAAGAAATTGAAACTCTGAACCACCGCCAGCAGGTTCTCATTGAAGAGAACAATGCGCTGACCTTGAGGAACAACGACTTGGACGCCATCTATGAGGAACTCAAGAGGAACTTTGATGAGTTAAGTGTAGTAAGTGAGGAACGCTTGAAGGCGATTAATGACCTGACTGTTAAGGCAGAAGCTCTTGAAGGAACTAGGTTGGAACTGATGGCTAGGAACCAGGAACTGTTGGCGACTGAAAGTGAACTGCAGCGCCTCCAAGCGGCGAACAAGGAACTGCAGGTTGATATGGACTGTTGCGTGCAAAGGGAGAACCAGATGTTGGAGTTCACACAGAAGTTGACGGATAAGAATGTCAGGTTTGTAACGATCATGTTTTCTAAAATAACAAAACATACACAGAAAAAAAGGTTCACTTGAGTCAAGAAAATATTATTTTCTTGAGCGAAAAAAAATTGTTTTTTAACAAGAAATTTTACTTATTCCAACAAAATTAATTTTCTTGCTTTAAGAAATACGTATCTTGATCCAAGAAAATTTATTCAAGTCAAGAAAATCTTGTTGTTTTGAGAAAATTCAGCCTTGAGCTCCAAAAAATTTAGTTTTTGATAGAAGTTAATTTTCTTGTCTTGAGAAAATTTCTCTCTTGCTCCAAAAAATTAAATATAAAGATAGAAGTAAATTTTCATTAATATTTTTATTGATTAACATGTCAAATGGCAAGATCAAATAATATTTAATCATTTTTTTTCATTCAATATGTATAATTCCACGGTAAAATAATATAAAATGGGTATCAAATATTCTCGAGAAAAATTTTCTCAAGGTGAGAAAATTTTTTTCTCAGCTGAAGTAGGTGGCGCTGCTTCCCTAAAGTATCTAAAAATCTTTATCAAATATAACAAATTTATTGTATCAAGTATTTATCATAATTTGAATTAAGAAAAAATTCTACCAAGAATAGAATATCAATAATAATTTTTACTTTGGCCAACACAACTTCGGTCTTCCTTCAGGCACCCAAAAATTTTCTTGAGCCAAGAATTTTGTTCTCCAATCAAGAAATTTTTCTTTCTGTGTATGAGTACCGGAAAACAATTCCCACCCTCACAAGTGGAGGCTTCGAATTGAAAGAAAAAATCCGAAAAAATTACTTGTCCGCTTTTGTTTGCACTCAAAAAATTCTGAAGTATCTACAACACATATAGACTTAAAAAAAAAAATCACCGTCAACCTCCGTACTCCGGAACCGCGTTAATCTGCCCGCACATGTTACAAAAAAATTGAAAAAATTGAGAAGAATTACTTAGGGGCTGTTCATAAATTACGTAAGCGCTCATTAGGGGGGGGGGAGGTCAAGCTGAATCTCTATGTATGCTTACTTAGGGGGGAGGGCGCTAGTAGACAAATCTTACGTAAGCAAAATTTTTAAATTATTTCAGTAGTCGGTAACTTAAATTACTTTTCTACTAAGATTCTCGATCGATAGTTCAATTGCATCGATAATGTCACACACAGTTTTGTTTGATTATAAGTTGTTAAAACGAGGCGGAAAGAGCGAAGCTGACATGAGTGTCAGAATCTTTTATTTCAGTTAAAAAATGCTAGTTGATGCACATAGTAAAAATTAAACTAATTGAATTCTATTCAGTTGGAATAGTTTAAATAATTTATTTGGGGTTTGTAAGGTTGAATCTTACCCAGTTGGTTGTAATTTGAAAAATTCAACCTGGTCCGTCAAGTTTAATTAATACGTTCTTGCCTATTTTGTAATAAATAGTCTTGCTCCAAAAAATTAAATATAAAGATAGAAGTAAATTTTCATTAATATTTTTATTGATTAACATGTCAAATGGGAAGATCAAATAATATTGAGTCATTTTTTTCATTCAATATGTATAATTCCACGGTAAAATAATATAAAATGGGTATCAAATATTCTCGAGAAAAATTTTCTCAAGGTGAGAAAATTTTTTTCTCAGCTGAAGTAGGTGGCGCTGCTTCCCTAAAGTATCTAAAAATCTTTATCAAATATAACAAATTTATTGTATCAAGTATTTATCATAATTTGAATTAAGAAAAAATTCTACCAAGAATAGAATATCAATAATAATTTTTACTTTGGCCAACACAACTTCGGTCTTCCTTCAGGCACCCGACAAATTTTCTTAAGCCAAGAATTTTGTTCTTCTGTCAAGAAATTTTTCTTTCCGTGTATAAACATTACAATAGAACACTTTTTTTAGGTAACATGTGCTTGAGCAAGATTTAGGTGCCAGTGTCTTGAGCAAAACCCCTAGTTGCTAGTGTCTTTTTCTACATATAGGTCTTGCTCAAGTTCATGTAGAAAGAACTGGTTTAAGATTTATATATAACTAGCTCAAGACATCTTGTGGAAGAATATGAGACAAGTCTAATGCAAGGTGCATTGAAAAACTTTCTGACGGATTTTTTTAATCAGAAACTCACAACATACACTTACCCATGACTTGCTCAAGATTTGCTCAGGATCCGTAATTCTCAGTAATTTGTTCATTTCTAAAGCATTTGTCAACCAAAAACTAACAGCAAATGTTGAAGCGTGACTTGTTCAAGATTTGCTCAAGATGCATCATGCATTATATATTTTATAGCACTTTTTCCCCTCGACTACTTGAAGATCTATTGATTCAGTGGTGGTCATTTTAAAATAATTTTGTCTTGATCGATCAAACAGTAGGTCTATACTCTAAAAGGTTAAGCTGAATGAGATTCACTGATCCTATAGTAAATATAGGAGGGGCAGAATGATAAGAACGGTCATTCGAAAACATTTGATCTTGAGCAGATCTTGAGCAAGTCTTGCACAAGTATATTCAGCATGCTTCTGGTGTCAGTCTTTCTCAAGAATTGATATAGTTAGTTTATCGATAAGCATCTTCAGATTATCTCAATTTTCTTACACAATTCCTGAGCTATAATCTGGCCGAAAGTTCTTGTACAGGCTTTGTCCAAGATTTGCAAACTAGTGAACGGTATGTTAATACTTCCCTTAACAGCGCCGCGCTCATACCTAAAAATTCCAAAAGTAACTTATTATCCAAGTAACTTATTATCTAAACCCAAAAATCTAAACTTACTGTATATTATTCCTGATGTCCACAACAATCATCTTATCCCGTTTGTTTCCGTAATAATTAACGAAGTCATCGATACTAATCCTTGGGACCTTCTCAGTTCCAGGTTCAGGTTCCTTCCAGTGGCTGGCTTTAGATTGGTCGAACTGGTACTTCCGATAAGTAATACTCGTCGGAGTGTTCGTGTACATGTCCATGGAGTCTTTGACGCAGAGCTCGATGTCCACTTCAGGAAGATCGGAAAATAAAAGGATACACTCGTTGAACCCCGAAGTTAGCAGCGCGTCTCTAAGCTGCTTTAAGATCGCGAGGCCAACCATCAAAGGAAACGACGAGTCGCCTAGAAGAAGCTTGTCCCACAAATGGAGTATCTTGTGCAGCGGGAACACGTCTGGAACAGTAATTTTATGGTTAGAATGATAAGCTTGGAAGGCTAATTAGTGGAACAAGAACTTACGTGAGAACATGGTGAGGAACCAGGGAATCGCAAAGAGTTCCGGAACAAAGTTGATGCCTCTCAAGTGGTTCGCTAGCTTGGGATCATGGAACCCGATGATCTGCGAAAATTTTCCAAGGTACTCTTGAATAACAGCGCTGTTGTCCTTCAGGAAGAACTGGTGCAGGTATTTTGGGACAAAAGCCTCCAAGCAGGCGAACGCCAGCGCCTCGTTGTTGAAGTTAAGGTACAAAAACGGCGCTGTGAGCGAGTCTAGACCCTGCCAGTAAACATACTGAGGGTTGTTCCTCACCCAAGCTTTTAAGAGTCTCTGGAGTCGTTCGTGTCCTGATCCAGAGGACAGCAACTCGCTGTACTGGTGACATCTAGGAATGTCCACTTCAATCTGCCGATCAGTGTGCGTTGGAGTCTCTTTGTCAATCTGCTCGTATTTTCTCTGGATGTTTCCGACTACTCCCAAAATGGCTGCCCAAATCTGCCCGCGAAATGGCGGAGGAATGTCCTTGTGGGCTTCTCGAAGGATTGCTGAGCGAGACACTGGGTAGGCTTGGAGCAGCCGCTCGAATAGGACCAGTCGGTAGAACTGGTACTCTGTGTCTCTTTCGCGGATTATTAGAGGAAGTTTAGTGGTTGCGTTGGTTAGCTCGTCTTGGAGGTGGAAGTCTGCTTCTGTTGACAGCTTTGGGCTGTTGGCTATGTATGGCACGTGGCTTAGACGTTGTTTCAATGTTTCTAGAGGTACCTGAATTGATAATGAATATTGAGCAAAACTTAGTTGCTAGTGTTTTTTTCTACTTCTTGCTCAAGTTCATGTAGAAGAACTGGTTCAAGATTTATATAACTAGCTCAAGACATCTTGTGGAAGAATATGAGACAAATCTAATGCAAGGTGCATTGAAAAATTTCTTGACGGATTTTTTGAATCAGAAACTCATAACAGACACTTACCCATCACTTGCTGAACATTTGCTCAAGATCCGTAATTCTCAGTAATTTGTTCATTTCTAAAGCATTTGTCAACCAAAAACTAACAGCAAATGTTGAAGCGTGACTTGCTCAAGATTTGCTCAAGATGCATCATGCATTATATATTTTATAGCACTTTTTCCCCTCCACTACTTGAAGATCTATTGATTCAGTGGTGGTCATTTTAAAATAATTTTGTCTTGATCGATAAAACAGTAGGTCTATACTCTAAAAGGTTAAGCTGAATGAGATCCACTGATCCTATAGTAAATATAGGAGGGGTAGAATGATAAGAACGGTCATTCGAAAACATTTGATCTTGAGCAGATCTTGAGCAAGTCTTGCACAAGTATATTCAGCATGCTTCTGGTCTCAGTCTTTCTCAAGAATTGATATAGTTAGTTTATCGATAAGCATCTTCAGATTTTCTCAATTTTCTTCCACAATTTTTGAGCTATAATCTGGCCGAAAGTTCTTGTACAAGGCTTGTTCAAGACTTGTCAATTGAATTTGCTACAAGTATCTGGAGCAAGACCCATAGGTAGAAAAAGACACTAACAACTATCGAAATTGAGACCAGACTTACTAAAGCCTTGAAGAAGATTGCTGTATGGGATTTTTAATCTTTTCTAGATAAAAAATATAATAATATCAACTTAATAATACAATAATGATAGTTGATAATAATCGTCGTAATAAATCATAATAATTATTTCTATTAATTTTTATATAAACAAAAATTCTTAAATACACCAAGTAATAATAAGACCTTCAATCCAGGTTGCAATCAGAGTTCACCATTACCGAGTCCAGGATGAAGGAACTGGAGAAGGAACTGGTTCCGTTCCGGGAACAGGTCAAGGAACTGAAGGCTAGAATCAAAGAAATTACCGAGGAGCTGAGGGATGAGAAGAAGAAACGTGTTGATGAGTGCGAACTACTTGCGCGACATCTAGCGGAACAGACCAAGATGGCGGAGAACTTGAAGCAGCTGTTGGAGGACAGCAAGGGCGAGAACTTGGTGCTTAAGAGGAAGCACCAGATGACTATCAAGGAACTAACTAGGGAAGTTGGACAGTTAAAGAAGAAGTTGGAGGGAACTAGTAGCGCTGTAGAGGGCGCTGTTCAGACTAGAACGCCATCTGTTTTGTCGCTTAATGAAGAAGCTGATAAGGAGGCCGGGGTGATTTATAATGAGCTGGATAAACAGGCGCTTGTTGATAGGGTGATCAAGTTGCAGAGAGTTAATGTTAAAAGGGCGGAAAAGTTGGACTTTTTGGAGGAACACACTAGAGTGCTTGTTGTTGAGTTGCAAAAGAAGACTAAGATTATTCAGAATTATGTTTTGAGCGAGAGCTTTGATGCCATGGGGAGCAATGAGAGGGATAAATATAAGGTAGGTTTGAAGGTTGGATGGGAAAGATTTTATTAGGGTATTAAATGGGGATTTAATTTGGTTTCATGCTGCGATAGAATTTGAAGAGTCATAGGGATACGGTGAGTTTTTAGGTTATGAATTTTTTTAAATATTTTAAAATTAAACTAGTAACTTTGCAGTCACTACGTGACTGCAGAGAGTTGTGAACTAAAAATAATTAAAATTTTGGTTTATTAGAGACTTTTGTTAAATTGCACTGTACTTTCTTAAATATTGAAGTTTTTGAAGATATAAGCTCATCTCAGTGTTACACTCGTAAAGAGCTTTCATTTGAGTACCCACATGCATTTTTGATATATTTTTCATATATACATATATCTAATATATATAAATATATAAAATATATGAAAAATTCATGTGGGTATTCAAATGAAAGGTCTTGATGAGTGTAATATCGGAGTGAGCTTATATCTTTAAAAATATCAATAGTTCACAAAACTTTTGGTTAAATTACGACTGTACTTCTTAAATATTGAAGTTTTTGAATTATATGTCTCAAAAAATTTAAATTTATTTGAGATGTCGGATGTCTCGACTTGAATTTCTTCGGTAGTATCTGTACTACGAACCACATCGTCTGCTCGTACCTGACGTCCCATAAATATCTTTTTTTTTATTACAACTCCCCAGTTAATCAATCATTCTTTTTTAAATAATAATAATGAAAAAAAAAATTCAAAGTATTTAAATAAAATAGAAACGAGTAATTTACGCGATGATACTGATAACAGTTATTACAAATATCTACAGTATATTTTTCATATATACATACATATATAATATATGAAAAATTCATGTGGGTATTCAAATGAAAGGTCTTGATGAGTGTAATATCGGAGTGAGCTTATATCTTTAAAAATATCAATAGTTCACAAAATTTTTGTTAAATTCCACTGTACTTTCTTAAATATTGAAGTTTTTGAAGATATAAGCTCATCTCAGTGTTACACTCGTAAAGAGCTTTCATTTGAGTACCCACATGCATTTTTGATATATTTTTCATATATACATATATCTAATATATATAAATATATAAAATATATGAAAAATTCATGTGGGTATTCAAATGAAAGGTCTTGATGAGTGTAATATCGGGGTGAGCTTATATCTTTAAAAATATCAATAGTTGACAAGATAGCAATGTCAGTTCTTAATTATTGATACTTTTAAAGACATAAGCTCATCCCGGTGTTACACTCATCAAGAGCTTTCATTTGAGTACCCACATGCATTTTCATATATTTTTCATATATTCATATATATAATATATATAAATATATAAAATATATGAAAAATTGATGTGGGTACTCAAATGAAAGCTCTCAATGAGTGTAATGTCGGGGTGAGCTTATATCTTTAAATCGTCAATATCGGATTTTTAGGCTGAGTTGATAAAACATGGGGGAATAATGGCGTCTGTTTACCACCAACGAGTTACTGATGACAACATGACGCTGGAATTGTCGCTGGAGATAAATCAAAAGCTGCAGACTGTACTTGAAGATGCGTTACTTAAAAACATAACTCTTAAGGTATATTATTTTTATTATCATATTACCAATTATCAATTATGATATTTATTTGGTGGATCAATAATTGACATGTCTTCTAGGACAATATTGACACCCTGGGTGATGAAATAGCAAAGCTTACAATCCAAAATCAAAAAACAGCCAAGTGACAAACGGATAAAATTTCTAAATTTAATTATGTTAATAATAACAATAATAATAATAATTATTATTATTATTACAATTATTATTATTATTATTATACTTATGATCAATCATTATTGAAAAGTTTGTTATTTATCGCGCTGTATAATTTTATTAGTTATTTTTTTTTTTTGAAGTGATTTTTAGGGTTTGTTTTTATGAAAATAATTTTATTATTGTTTTTATTTATTTATGTAAATATATATATTAATAAATATTTTATCTGAGAGTTTATGAGTCCAGATTATTATTTAATGTACGTAATGCCTCGTTATGATTAAAAAAGTACAATTATTAGAATATTGGTATTTTTTTTTTAATTTTAGTATCTGGTGACTGGGCCCATAACCTGTTATTTATTTTTTATTTATTTATTTATTTATTTATTTACTTCCCAAGTTAGTAATTGAAATTAAAATTAACTACACAGATAGAACAAGATTACACTGGATATCATCCTAGATTATACTGAGTGAAAAAAAAAATTACAGATAGTAGCTAGTATAATTCAGATTACAATGAGTATAATCCAGATATCACTCAGTATAATCTGGGATGATATCCAGTGTCATCTTGTTTTTTCCGTGTATCAACGAACTAAAAAAAAATTAAAATTTTGCATTATTAAAAATACCCTTATAAAAAAAAAGTATTGGGTAAAAGTACATATAAATTATGCTTTAGTCGTATACAAAAATTTATTTAAAAATTAATATAAAATTTTTTGATGATAAATTGTAATCATCTTACCTGAATGCAAAAATATCCAATAAATAAATTTAATTATGAGTAATAAACAATAATAATTAACAAAAAAATCATCTAATATTTTTTTTTTAAATAATTTTCAATCATGAAAACTCTAGTGATGCGAAGACTAATGACTACCTGGATGCAGCTACTGGATTTGGGTTTAACTTCTCAAATATAATTATTGTTTATGTCTACCTCCGTTGAAGAACATTGTACGCAGTGTAAGAAAACTTCATGAGCTGGGAAGAAATTATAAGTTAATTTTAAATACGAAAGAAGAAAACGCAGAAGAAGAAGAAGAAGAAGAAGAAGAAGAAGAACTTACTTTGGTGAAAGACTCTAGAGAAAGTTCAATCAAGCTTCCACTGGTGAACTTAATTGGCCTGACAGTCCTTATTTTCATCAAAAGTAGATCCTTTTTGGTTTTATTCGTCAAATATTGCCAGTCCATGTTGTAGATCGCAGAACTTATACCGGAGCTCTAGTTTGAGGTTAATATTTTACTTATTTAATATACAAGTTTAGTTTAAGTTATTAAGATAAAATAAAAGGAATATTATTTGTTTTAAAATTTTGTTCAAATTTTCGCAGCTTTAAGGTTTAAGCAAGTCGGGTCTCAATTTCGATAGTTGTTAGTGTCTTTTTCTACCTATGGGTCTTGCTCCAGATACTTGTAGCAAATTCAATTGACAAGTCTTGAACAAGCCTTGTACAAGAACTTTCGGCCAGATTATAGCTCAAAAATTGTGGAAGAAAATTGAGAAAATCTGAAGATGCTTATCGATAAACTAACTATATCAATTCTTGAGAAAGACTGACACCAGAAGCATGCTGAATATACTTGTGCAAGACTTGCTCAAGATCTGCTCAAGATCAAATGTTTTCGAATGACCGTTCTTATCATTCTGCCCCTTCTATATTTACTATAGGATCAGTGGATCTCATTCAGCTTAACCTTTTAGAGTATAGACCTACTGTTTTATCGATCAAGACAAAATTATTTTAAAATGACCACCACTGAATCAATAGATCTTCAAGTAGTGGAGGGGAAAAAGTGCTATAAAATATATAATGCATGATGCATCTTGAGCAAATCTTGAGCAAGTCACGCTTCAACATTTGCTGTTAGTTTTTGGTTGACAAATGCTTTAGAAATGAACAAATTACTGAGAATTACGGATCTTGAGGAAATCTTGAGCAAGTCATGGGTAAGTGTCTGTTGTGAGTTTCTGATTAAAAAAATTCGTCAGAAAGTTTTTCAATGCACCTTGCATTATTAGACTTGTCTCATATTCTTCCACAAAATGTCTTGAGCTAGTTATATATAAATCTTAAACCAGTTTTTTCTACATGAACTTGAGCAAGACCCATATGTAGAAAAAGACACTAGCAACTAGGGGTTTGCTCAAGACACTGGAACCTAAATCTTGCTCAAACACATGTTACCTGGGTAGTCATATGATAAAATCGGTTTTTTTAGTGAGCAACTATACTTCACCAATACCCGAATGAGTTTTGTTTTTTCACTCATATTTTTCATATTTATTTTAAATTATTTTGCATTTAAATAAATATATAAAATTAATTGACTATAATTTACCTCTAATGCAACTTCGTTTGCGTACCAGCAGAACAAAAAAATTTGTGATATCATACAAGAAAGGTAAAAAACAATAAACATAAATTCAGGACTTCCAAAAGCAAGTTTTGTCAACAATTGAACGCTCATACAAAGAATCAATGAGCTTAATGAGTACTGCAGGAATATTATCGGCGAAAACAGATCATTAGCTTGTTTTGCAAACCTACAAATTAAATTATAATTTCAATTAGCAGAAGAAGAAATGTTTTTCTTTTTTTTTTTTGAAGATGATAATTAGCCAAAACTCAACTGCAAAATGATCCAGTGGTGATGAATGCACTCTTTCATGAATTTGTGTTCCCAATTTCTTAAATAAGATAAGTCACCAGTGCCACTTGTCTTGTTCCGATGAGCTATCCTTACAAAACTTTCTAACCTGCTCTTCAAAATGACCAACTGGTTGGAATTCTGGATGAAAACTCCCCAGACTACGGTGTCAAATGCAGATCCCACCATGGCGACGTAGAAGTGGGCGATGCTTTGATGGAAATACGCGATCCAGAATCCTGAACCGTTAAAGTGCTGGAACGGGAACCAGCCGTTGAAAGGAAGAACTCGAGCTGATAGGTTGTCTAAAATTGAAGCTGTTGTCATGAATGATACTGCGCAGCCTACCAGGATGAAGTAAGTTACAACAATGTCTCTAAAAATAATAATAATAATTAATTAAATAAATACGTATTCAATTTATTATCTTCTAGATTTTTATACTTTTATCGCGAGTTTTTAATTTATGGCTAAACACGCTTTTTATAGAAAACCAAACTAAAAAATAGAAAATAAAATGACACTGAAGTTAGCAGACGTCTAAAAATTTTTGATTTTTTTTTTTTAATTAAATTAAAACCAAAAAAAAATTTATAAAAAATTGCACTTATAGGTTTTCAAGTTTTTAACACTATGATATTTTTTTTTTTAATTGTTTAATTGAAATTTTTTCGATAAAAAATTTATAAAAATTTTGAAATGTCAGCTAGCTTCATTTTCATAAAATAAATTAATAATAGTGTGAATAAAAAAAAAATGTATTTTATTCTAAAAAAAGCGTGGGGTGCTTTTTAAGATATTATCAAAATGATAATCACTCTACTCATATCTGTCAATAAAATATTTATAACTATTGACACCATGCACCCCACGCTTTTTTTAAAATAACACTAGAATTTGAATTTACGCGCGCAAGCGCGCGCTTTGACTATAGAGTTTGCATATATTTTCATGCTTATGATATATTCAACCAATCACGTTACGAATAGTTTGATGCCACATACATTTCATCTCAATTTTATTATGGGACTAATACATTTTTACACATAAAACTCTATACTACATAACCGTTAAATTTATTATTATTTATAATTGAAGTTAATTCCACTAGATGGCGATAGTTTATATATCATATATGTACGTACGTCATTACCACCCGACCAATCGTGTGGATAAAGAAGTAACTGACCTTAAAAATATTATCACAAAATCAGAATATTTTCCAGCAGATATCGCTGCTGGAGGAGAACACAGCCTGCATCAACAACCAGTATTTTTTTGACATCTCCAACTCCCGTTCGTGTCCCAGTGCATCACCCTTAATATCAATAACCTCAACAAATTCCCCAGGTGGAGTGAATATTTATATGACGTGATGATGCACCCGAGTCGCCGAAAGAAAAAGCGCATTAATTACGGAGTCCGAGCCGTAGAATTAGTAAGAGGCACGAAGGGTTACGGCTTCACTATATCCGGACAACAGCCCTGCATTCTTTCGTGCATCGTCTCCGGGTCACCTGCTGAGCAATCTGGCCTCCGAGCCGGGGATTACTTGGTGGCTGTGAACGGGTACAGTGTCGCCAAGTCCCCCCACGACGACGTGGTCAAGCTAATTGGAAACTCCAAGGGCGTCCTGAGGCTACAGATAGCTGAGAATTATTACTCGGACTCCTCTGATGAAGAGGGACACCTGGCTGCTCGTACCAAGCCTAAGTACTCTCACAGGTCTCGCAGCAGTCATCAGATCAACAGTTCACTTTCTCAAAGTAATTATTTTTATTTTATTTTAGAATTTTTTTTAAGAAAAAATATTGACATTTTGAAATTTTTAAAAATTAATATATATGTATATGTATACATATTTAAGAAAAGACCTTGTATCTTGGGAACTATTGACATTTTTAAAGATATAAGCTCATCCTGATGTTACACTCGTCGAGACCTTTCATTTGAGTACCCTCATCAATTTTTCATATATTTTATATATTTATATATATTATTGGAAATTAAAATTAACATCAAGTTCTGTCTTATTGACTGTAGAGAAAAATTATAAAAAATTAAAATTAACTTTCTTACCTTATCGACTATAGATGAAAATTATATAAATTAATAAAAATCATATTTTGCTAAATATTATTTGGTGGAAACAACCTTAAAAATTGTGTAATTATTTTTTTTAAAACTTACTTTGCTTTTTTATCATGCTTAAATTGAATTTCCGCCTCTTCTTCCCTTTCTACCCTGCAGAGTCTTCTATCCAGAAGCCGAAGGATATTCCTAACTTCACTCCGCTTTAATTTAAGCAGAACTAACTTCGACCAGGCAACAAACACTGTGAAAGTCATCGACAAATTCTGGACCATTAATTCTACATTTGAAGTGTAAAACAAATCTATCGTGCAGGAGACAAAGAAGGTAATCATTGTCAGTCCGATAATTAATGTATAAATATTATAAATCTGCTCTTTGACCGTCGAGCTCCAGGAGATCGGTATCCATCCGCCGAAGACTTGCAATATAAAGAAACTGTAAGTTAGAACTTTCATCGTTGCAAAAAAGTTATAAGAAAAATAAAATACTCCGGAAGACTACCGTCGGAACAAAGGAAATAGAAGTGGATAATAAAATATTAATAATTTATGAATAAGTTATGAAGACTTATGCGCAGTTTATGTTTTTCCAACCCTTTCAGGCTATCTTGGAGGAATAAAGGACTGCAATCATCGGATATTATCGATACTTATCGTAATAATAGCTTCCGACTTTCGGAGAATTGTCTTTTTTGTCGGTGACAATATTCTTTGTTATTGAATTAGCTGTTTAGCTACTTGACTCTTTCTACCCAAGCTACTTATTGATTCATATCTTGGAAATTGTCATTGTCTTTACTGGAAGTTCCGGTAAGTATTTATCAAGTGCATTTATTTTTTTTTACTTAATTAAATTTAATAAACTGAATAATTACAAAAAAATAATGAGAAGAAATAATTAAATTCTAAAATAAATAATTAAGTTTTGAAATTAAGTTAATTTTCTTAGATTACAAGGATAAATATCTTTAAAAAGGAATTTTGGGGTAAATATTGAAGATACGGAAAAATTATAAGAGACTTTTTTTTTTTTTTGTAGAAAATTTAATTATCTACAAAAAAGATATTTTACTTTTTCGTATCTCTTACCGTTTAGCCAGAAATTAGAAAACATGCGGTAAAAAAATTCAAATTTTTATACCTAGTTGTAGTTTATTTAATAATTTTTTAGTGATAAATATTTTATTTTTTAATTTTTACTTCTAGGGTAAATGCACCAGTTGTTGACCGGTCACCAATTAGTTGACCGATGTATAAAAAAGTTAATTAATTAATATTTTACAAGGTTTTTTTTTTTCTTAAAGTATTAAAATAAAAATATATGGCATTTAATCATCATAATAAAAAATTACGCAATTAATTGCGCAGTGATTATAGATTTAAAAAAATATTCTGAGTTTGTTTACAACGCAACCAGCCATAAAGCGGTCAAAAATAACTACCGTACAATTGGAGAGTGAGTGCATTTCATAATTAATTTAGTGATATTTATCGGCACAATATCAAATATTTTAGTTTTATTATGTTAATTAAAAATCAGATTCCAACTTTTTTGAAAAAATAAAGTTAAATTATAAGTTTCAATATTATTTTAAGAATCTGTCAAGTCTTTAAAGTACTTTGGTCATTCAATATTTTGTAAATATAAGAATAATCATTTTAAAATGTATATTTATAATTAAAATAATACTTAAAATCTTTTTTGATTATTAAATTTTATTTTGTTCTAATTTTTTTAGTGAACGGTTTTATCAAAGAACGAATTATTAGAAGAAAAAATTGCTAAGCAATTAAAAAAATAAAAAAGAGTTACAAGCTAGTAAAAAAGCTTTAATTGAAAAAAAGAAGGAGAAGAATAAAAAAATTTCAAGTGAATCAGAAGAATTATCGTGATCAAAATGAATTTGTAATTATTTGTGACCTAAAGAAATGTGACTTTATGTTAATTATTCCTATTATTTATATTATTTTATAAAAAAGTACAATTTAAAATTATATTGTATGTTTAGTTTTGTTAAAGATGTCGTTAATACTTGAAAAGTACTGCATAAATTTAATTACATACATGTAGTTTACAAAATTACTTATAATTATTTGAGCGGTGAATTAATTGGAGAACGGTCGGTCATTTATTGGGTTTCTTCGGTAAATAATTGGTGATTTTAGTATTTCAACATTCAAATAACAAAATTAATTCAATTTTGTTAATTTTTATTATAAATAGTTATTAATTATTATTAATTAAGTATTTAACTTTAATAAAATCCATTACAAATTGTTTTTAGAAGGTTAATAGATTTTTTAATATATAGCTTAGTACAGAAAAAGAAAACCTTAATCGGTCAATAATTGGCGCATTTACCCTATTAATATAATTTTATAAAATATATTTGCAGTGATGTGCAAAATGTGGAATGAACAAAGCAGTTTTGGGGGAGTAAATTTTTTAATTGAGCGGGATATTATCAAAATGACAAAAATTCCAGATTAAATTTTATGGTAAGTAATTAAAAAAAAATTTTTTTACTTAAATCATAACAATTTTTATAAAATCTAAAAGTGCCACAATTTTTAACAAAAAAAATAAGGTAAATTTTAAGGAGATCCAAGTACCCATAGTGTAAAGAATGTCTATAAAAAAATACGTAGAAATATTTCTGTTATCTTAAAATTAATTTTTAAATTAATTAATAACATTTTTGAGGAAATTTCCGATAAATTTACTCATTAAATAATTATTAATATTTAATCGACTAATAAAAAATATAGCACTCTGAATTACCGGTATATACACTTGACAACACAAAAAGAGTGTCCCTAACTTTAAAATTTATTTATGTTTACTGTCTAATTAAAATGACTAAGATGTTCTAGCATTTAAAAAACCGCGGTTACTTATGCGCATGGGTAACTGCGCAAGCGGTGTTGCCAAGTCAAATACAAGACTTTAAAGAACGCAAGTGTCCGAGTGATTTTTCATAAAAAATATACAACATCTCCGTAATACGTTCGGAAAGGTACTTTTTTATTGTTTTAATCTTTAGCTTATTATTTTTTCAATCAAATTCAATGAAAATAACATTTTTTTTTAAATCGTTAATTGCATTAAATTCTTAACCAAATACACGGCTGGTAGAATCTCCATTTACCTACATGTAAAAATTACAATTTTTAAACCTAATTATTTAATTAAATATCCCGGAAACCTGTTTTTGAATTTTTTATCAATTATTCGCTTACATATAGATTGAATTTACAAATTTTCAGGAAGTTTTAAAAATTTGACTTCGCGTGGATCTCCTTAACTTTAAATTTATTATAATTCACCAATCTAACCAAAATTACTGTCTTTAATCGCATCACTCAATTTCTCCGTAACAAAATCCGCCATTACAATGGTCATAACCCCCGAAGGCTTTTTAAAATTTCCCGCCACTAAATAGTTAATCGGCTGCGCACAGGTGTCGCCGTCGTAGTAGCCGCCATCTCTTGCAATAGCTCTGCGGCCATTTTGTCCATCATCAAAACTCACATCATTAATCAAGCAGCTACCGGATTTCATAAAAGAACTAAAAGTCATCCGTGCTACAATTTTTTCCCACTTTCTATCAATAAATTTATCATCAGTCTCACCTCCATCAAGAAAATCCAAGTTAGGATGACATTCTCGCGCATCAAAGGCACAATTGCCATCAACAAACGAACTGTCCGTGCTAGCAAGCAAGATTTTTCCTCTGAATTGTCCAATGGTGTCATTAAGCTTCCAATTTTTGACGATTAATTCCTCTCTTCTGACGAAAAATCTCAAATAAAATGCAAGAATCTCGCAATTGCTTTTAGAATTATCTTCAGTAGGAGGCAATTCTTCGTGCACTACCAGGATAATCAGTTCCTGAGGGTAGGTTTCAAGGAAGTCGATAGCGTCTATAAAAACTTCGTGGAATCCAACAGAGATTGCTTTGTTGAAGCTGATAATTTCGAAGATGTCCGACCTGGCACGGACTCCAATGTCCAGGACTCTGACTTTGCGATGAAGCTGCTGGTGGATGTTCAGATCTTGAGTCTGCCATTTTGTTCCGAGTTCTGGATGGTAGCAAGCGGACGAATGGGTTCCAAGAAGCGCCAGGTCGCTTAGTTTGGTTGATCCTGGTAGAAGTGATAAGAAGCTTGCTTCTGAGGGCCGCTTGGACACTGGAGTGTACTTTGGACACTGGTTACAGGCTTTAGTTTGATCGGTCAAGATTATCAAGGTGATAATCATGATTGAAATTTGTTTACTGGGTTCCATTTTGCGCAGAAGGAAAAAATTAGAATGAATTTTTTATTAGATTGACGGCGTTTTTATCAATACTCTGTTGAGTAATAAGGAGAGATAAGCTATTTTTTTTTTTAAAAAAAATTAATTAAAACTAGCAATTAGTTAGATAGTGGAAATATATTTTACGAGCTTGTTATTATCGTCGATGGAAAAGTACAATTGGTAAAGTTTAAAACCCTGGAGTTATTTTTAAATTTTATTTCATTAGAATGGAAAATTTTTTAAGGAGATCCAAGTACCCTCCTAGTGTAAAGAATGTCTATAAAAAAATAATACGTAGAAATACTTAATATCTTAAGGAGGTCCATTTGCCATCAATGTTAAATAAAAAATATTAGATTATGCATAAAATTAATTTTTATCTAATAGTTAAAGTCCTTATGTATCTACTAGTCAAGTTTAATTTATTCTTCACCGTGGAAATTTTTGAAAAAAAAATTTCTAAAAATGTTAGTATTTTTTCCGAGTCTTACGAGAAAGTCAGACCTTAACAACTTTCTCAAATTATGGCATTGACCACCGATTAGATGGGGTGAAAAAAAAACTCAAAATAAGGTTTTCGCAATATTCTGGTTAGATTTTTTGCAATAAAATATCTAAGTTGCCGTGGAATTTATGGAGAAATTATAATTATAAAATCACAGAAAATTTTTAAGTAACCTACATTTAAATGGCGTCAGAACATTTGGCAACGTTGTGTAGCGCGCGAGCTTCAGACGCCAAATCACGGACAGGTTAACTAACAGCTGATTTACAACAGTCAAATTAATTTTTTTTTTTTCTAAAATATTAAACAAAAATTTTTTTTTTAATAATCTATATATTAGATAGACTATTACCACTTTTATTACAAAAAAAAAAAAAAAAAAAAAAACAATCCCAAAAAATGCCAGTTCGTAACAATCTAGGCAAACTCGAAAGATACCTCGGCAATCCCAATCAAGACAAAAATGAAGACATTTACTCAAAAGCAAATTCAATGATATCATTCATGTCGACAATAAGCGACACACTCAGTCGCTTCCGTGGCAATTTAAAGACCACTTATCGAATTTACATAGACAACATCCAAGGAGAGGACAAAAAACTTCTAGTTCCTTACGAGTCATACGTTGCAGCGGTTAACAAGTACAAAAGAATAAAAAAGCTTTTGGATGAATTCTGGAGAGCATTTTCCCTGGATTACCTCGATGTGGAATGGTTATTAAGTAAAGTCAACGAAGTGCGCCAACAACACACTAATCTAATGAATCAATACAACCGAATTGTTGACTCATCTGAAGCAAGTCAACAATTAGTGGGTGATTTGCTATCAACTGACAAGAAACACGATAAGTTAACCAGCCAATTAGAAAAAAGACTGCTTAACTTTTCAGCTTTGAAGCGTTCTTTGGAAGATCAGATGATTGTTTATCAATCTTTTGGAGGGAAGAAGTTTTCTATCTCCATTAGTTCCGATAAAGATGACTTGCTGAGAATCTTTGGGTTTGATAAGTTTTCAAGGGATCGTAAAGCTAAGAATGTTGAAGAAACAAGCTCTAAACCTTCAACATCTTCAGAATCTTCACCATCTTCAGAATCTTCACCATCTAAGTCTTCAACACTTCCAAAACCTTCAACATCTTCAACATCTTCAAAACCTTCAACATCTTCAACATCTATCCCTTCAACATCTTCAAAACCTTCAACATCTTCAACATCTTCGCCTTCAACATCGTCAAAGCCTTCAACAACGTCAAAAAAGACACCAAAAGAGCCAAAATCTGAAGATATCTTCAAGTTTCCTTCTTTTATAGCTTCAATAACGGAAACTGAGCTTAAAAACGCTGGCATATTTCTGCCAGACATAAAAGATATTGATTCCGCCATCAAATTCGCTAAAAACCAGTGGCTAATTTGGTGTGACATCGATGCAATGTCCAAAGAAGAGAATTTCGATGAATTCATCAAAACTGCGACTTATTTGCTTCCCGTCGCTCGAAATCGTGGAAAATTGGATCTGTTGATGCAAAATTACCGTGAAATGATTGAATTGGAGAACTTATTGATCAAATCCAAGCCAGAAAGGCGAAATTCTTTGGATAAGATCTTAAATTTGGACGAAAGTTATCTATCACAACAACAATTGAAGTTTTTGAACCTAAAAATTGGAATCACAGAAGTAGGATATCATTTTATGAATTATAGTATAGATTTTATGGTTAGAAAACTTATTCAAGAATATAAAGAAAATACTCCAGAAAGTATCAGAAGTTTCGTTTCGAGTTTTGATAATAACCGAATGAAGATTTTTGTAATTAATCTGATGATCTTTATGCAGAACAAATTGGCGGGGAAGTTGAACGAAAGAATTGATTTTATGAAATTGAAGTTGGGAATTCAAGACAGTGATGGTGATGAATATATTAAATCGGCCTTGGAAGATATTAAGACTGCGATTAGGGATATTGTAGAGATAGATTATGAAATTTTAGAGAATTTGAATCTTCTGAAGAATCAAAATGAGGTTTCCTTAACACTGTTTTATCGGAATAATATTAAAGAGTTGTTAGGGGATTTGAATATTAAAAAATACGATTATGATAAAAAACAGAAGAATTATAAACGGTTAGTAAGAAATTAATTGAGAAATTTATATTTTAAAATTGAATTATTTTTTTTGTAGTGAGAACAAAATTGTTTTTTTGACAACCCAGCCATCGACTTTTTAGAAAAGGTTTCTGATGATGCTAATTGGCGATATTACATACAGAGAAAAAATTTATTGCAGTAACCGAAAAAAAAAAATCGGAAAGTTTATCCGGGAATCGAACCCAGAACTTTTGGTCGGTAGCCAGAGACTCTAGCTCTACGCTATCCAAACTACTGTAGATATCCTTCATTCCCATATAGGAATCTTTTTCAAAGCTTGAGCAAGTCTGGTCTCAATTTCGGGTTCTGTAACAGTTCAACCGCGGACATTTCAACCGCGACATTTCAACCGACGACTTTTCAACCGAAGGACAATTCAACCGCAAGACAATTCAACCGATGACATTAACTGCAGTTTTCCTGATAAATTGATCACAAAATCCATGATAATAGGGCACAATAATCATTTTTTTATTTTTGAAATACTGCGAAAAAAACTTTATAATTGTGATTATTAGTATTATTATTATTATTAATCTTGAAATGCAACAAAAACTACATTTCTGACCGTTTTTTATATATTTAAAAACGAAATAACGAATATACAGTAATGTTAGATGACGATTAATTTAAATAATATCATGATAAATTACAACGACAAAACAGACGCAATATCATAAAGATACTTCAATTTATTTGTAGATTTATAGTCAGCAACGATATTATGAACACAAACGCGGGTAATCGTGTTGCGCCCTTTTAACATGGTTTTTATGTGTGTTTATTCGACATTAAACCAACACAGAAGCTTGTTACCGTGTTAGGCCCATTTATCATGGATTTTGTCGTCAATTTATCAGAAAAACTGCAGTTAAACTGTCATCGGTTGAATTGTCTTGCGGTTGAATTGTCCTTCGGTTGGAAAGTCGTCGGTTGAAATGTCGCGGTTGAACTGTCGCGGTTGAAATGTCGTCGGTTGACTAGTCGCGGCACCCAATTTCGATAGTTGTTAGTGTCTTTTTCTACCTATGGGTCTTGCTCCAGATACTTGTAGCAAATTCAATTGACAAGTCTTGAACAAGCCTTGTACAAGAACTTTCGGTCAGATTATAGCTCAAAAATTGTGGAAGAAAATTGAAAAAATCTGAAGATGCTTATCGATAAACTAACTATATCAATTCTTGAGAAAGACTCACACCAGAAGCATGCTGAATATACTTGTGCAAGACTTGCTCAAGATCTGCTCAAGATCAAATGTTTTCGAATGACCGTTCGCATCATTCTACCTCTCCTATATTTACTATAGGATCAGTGGATCTCATTCAGCTTAACCTTTTAGAGTATAGACCTACTGTTTTATCGATCAAAACAAAATTATTTTAAAATGACCACCACTGAATCAATAGATCTTCAAGTAGTCGAGGGGAAAAAGTACTATATAAATATATAATGCATGATGCATCTTGAGCAAATCTTGAGCAAGTCACGCTTCAACATTTGCTGTTAGTTTTTGGTTGACAAATGCTTTAGAAATGAACAAATTACTGAGAATTACGGATCTTGAGGAAATCTTGAGCAAGTCATGGGTAAGTGTATGTTGTGAGTTTCTGATTAAAAAAAATCCGTCAGAAAGTTTTTCAATGCACCTTGCATTAGACTTGTCTCATATTCTTCCACAAGATGTCTTGAGCTAGTTATATATAAATCTTGAAGCAGTTCTTTCTACATGAACTTGAGCAAGACCTATATGTAGAAAAAGACACTAGCAACTAGGAGTTTTGCTCAAGACACTGGGACCTAAATCTTGCTCAAGCATATGTTACCTGGGTTCCAATTCAATTATTGTAAAATTTGTTATTTCTATTGGAAAGATCCAGAGGCAGCACTGAAAATTTTCGTTTAAAATATTTAAAAGTTACCGGTAATACAAGTACATGTAGTCCACACTGATAGAAGGATTTAGTAAAAAAATTTTCACTCATTTTATTTGGGAGAAAAAAATATTTTTATCCATATCAATATTATTTGTTACAGCTTTATAAATTATTTTCCGTTCTAACTAAATTATAATAATATAAACAAAGCCTTATTATAATATCAAAATAAATATTTTTTTCCACCAAATATTATTTAGCAGTATTTAGTATAAATAAATGGGATTTAATAAATTATTTAGTAACTATAACTCAATCTTATTAAATAGAAACTAAATCCTTTTAGAATATCAAAGACATCTTTAGCATTTTGTCAATCGACAAAATTCTATTCAAAAGCAACTCAACGTGTCACTTACTCATCCATATTATCACTTCAAGATAATGTTCGATAAAATAACTAACAAGACATTTTTTAAAAATTTACCCTATTTATTAGAACGACTAGAAATATTTAATAAAGTAAAATTAAACTGTTGTTTTATTAAAAAATGCGCGTAAGTGATAAAAACGATGTCCTGATTATCGACACTAACCTCATAACCTCAATTACATCATTCATCGTGAATTTAGATTTGATAATCAAAGAATTCCAAGATAAATTCGACAAAGTCTACAATTTATATCTTAACAACGTCGATGAAAGAAACAAGACAGCAAAGGGTTCAACATTAGCAGTTAGAATGCCAACAAAGCCCTTCGAGAAAGTTTCTAGAATTTACGACCATGTTTCAAAAACACTAAATGACTTTTCAAAAGTTTTCCTCCATGATTTTTCTGATATCGTTGAAATCATGTTAGAATTAAACACGTTGAAGCAAAAGCACCAGATGTTATCTATAGAATTGTCTTTGGACAAAGATTTTCTAGATGAAGGCCAAGTTTATCGTAAAGAGAACAAGATCAGTAAAGTTAAGAGCGATTACGATAAATTAGTTTCAGAATTTGAGATCCGCAATAAAGAACTGACGGCTTTGAAGAATAATTTGAGCCGTCAAGTTTTGATTTACCATTCTTTGAAAACTGGACGGAAATTTCTTCTAAATCTCAAGGGTGAGCTAGCAGAGTTCCAATATCTCGTTGAGCTTGATTCCAAAAAGTTCTCTGATATGATTGTAGAGTACTCTCAATTATTCGACGATCAGTTGAAAAAACTGACCTTGACTCCTATTAACCAATTGAACAAAAGTTTTGCACCAAGTAAGGCTAAACCTAGATTAGGTGATCTTGCAAGTCAAAAAACTTTTACGGGGTTGAATTCTGAAGAATCAGCTGCAAAATATAGAAAGGTTGTTGAAGAAGTGAATCCTCCTAAAGCTGAACCTCCTCGTTTATTTGCGGAACAATCCCTAAATTTCAAGTCCCAATTTAAGCGGGAAGTTAAAAAAGAACGGAAAGAACCGAAAAAAATGAAAACTGATGCAACAGCAAGTACGTCAGAAGCACGAAGTTCAGGTTTGACATTAGGTAAAATGATGGAAACAGGAGGATTCAACTTTAAGCTCCCGACTGTAGCTAAAGAATCGAAAAAAATGGACATTTATGCAACAGCAAGTACGTCAGAAGTACGAAGTTCAGATCCTAAATTAGGAACAATGGAGATAGAAAGTCAAGCAATCAGAAGACGTTCTGAGGAAGAAAGTGATCGTCAAAGAAAATTATTAAGAATTGCTGACGATGTACCTTCTTTGATTCTGACAGTGATAGAAAATCTCGTGAGGATAAATCAAGATTCAGAAAGTAATCATGTTAAGTTAGTCAATTTAGCACTAATTTTGCCGTCAAAAATCGATCATACAGAAGAAGAATTGAAAGTTATTGCAAGAGAATTGGTTGCATTAAGAAAGAACAAAAAATTGAAAAATAAGAACATATTTCATGAGTCATTATATGAAAAGCATCAAGATCTTAAATGCTATTTGTCATTACTTAGGTATTGGAAGAATGAAATTCAGATAAAATTGGATTCTCCTGATCAGTTAACGGTTCTGACTGATTATGAATTTAGTCCTCTTGAGGATACTCCGCTTATGACACTAGAAGCTATCGGACCATTGATAAAAAATCACTATGATAGAATGGTTAGAAATTTGACCATATATAACAATGCGGTCTTAAATAGCCAATTATTTAAGAAGTTTGAGTCTAATCATCCGGAATTGCTGATGGTTAAAGATAACTTCAGAATATTTGCTGAGCAATACAAGAATTGGAAACGACAAATTGTCAATCCTGATATCGATTTATCAACGGAGAAACTGCCAGATCTTCCGTTGCAATATTTACGTCACGAAGTGGTAGCTTCAATAATTAATGTAAATTATTTATACTTTTTAAGAGATGATTTTTGTTTTAAATACGAGCAGTCTTCTAACCATTCGGGAAAACGTTTTTACGCATTGATGACTGCTGTGATTAATAAGTGCATTGAAATGGCCTGGGATGTAAATGGAAATATATTGTTGATTATTAAAAAGTTAAATAAATTAGGTTTTAATGTAAGCTATGAAGATATGATGGCTCCAATGGCTCCAGAGATTAGTAGTGACTTTACAAATTTAAGTAACAATTGCTATGATATCTTTGAAATTACCATGAAAGAGGATAAACATATTCTTTGGGAGAATGCAAAGGAACCGACTATTGAACAGATTCAAAAATTAAAGGCGATGAAATCGAGGTTGGTGGAAGATAGAAATCGTTTGGAGAACGAATATCATCAATTGGTTGAAGAACAAAGGTCATTAATCCGTTGAGGACACACGTTGAAAAAATGACATTCTAAATATCTTAAGTATCTTAATAGCTAATTTTAATTTGTAATAATTTAAAAACGTTAGAAGGATTTATTAACTATTATTAATTTAATTTATTGAAAGAAAATTATTAAATTTTAATAAATATTTTTTAACCCCAGGTAACATGTGCTTGAACAAGATTTAGGTGCCAGTGTCTTGAGCAAAACCCCTAGTTGCTAGTGTCTTTTGCTACTTATGGGTCTTGCTCAAGTTCATGTTGAAAGAACTGGTTCAAGATTTATATATAACTAGCTTAAGATATCTTGTGGAAGAATATGAGACAAGTCTAATGCTAGGTGCATTGAAAAACTTTCTGACGGATTTTTTTAATCAGAAACTCACAACAGACACTTACCCATCACTTGCTCAAGATTTGCTCAAGATCCGTAATTCTCAGTAATTTGTTCATTTCTAAAGCATTTGTCAACCAAAAACTAACAGCAAATGTTGAAGCGTGACTTGCTCAAGATTTGCTCAAGATGCATCATGCATTATATATTTTATAGCACTTTTTCCCCTCCACTACTTAAAGATCTATTGATTCAGTGGTGGTCATTTTAAAATAATTTTGTCTTGATCGATAAAACAGTAGGTCTATACTCTAAAAGGTTAAGCTGAATGAGATCCACTGATCCTATAGTAAATATAGGAGGGGCAGAATGATAAGAACGGTCATTCGAAAACATTTGATCTTGAGCAGATCTTGAGCAAGTCTTGCACAAGTATATTCAGCATGCTTCTGGTGTCAGTCTTTCTCAAGAATTGATATAGTTAGTTTATCGATAAGCATCTTCAGATTTTTTTAATTTACTTCCACAATTCTTGAACTATAATCTGGCCGAAAGTTCTTGTACAAGGCTTGTTCAAGACTTGTCAATTGAATTTGCTACAAGTATCTGAAGCAAGACCCATAGGTAGAAAAAGACACTAACAACTATCGAAATTGAGACCAGACTTGCTCAATCCTTGAAAAAGATTGCCATATGGGTATCACAACTTATTGTGTAGATTTCAACCAACAACAGATGGCACACTGTCTCATTTATAAATCTGCTAAATTTAAAATTGCCTTAATACAATAAAATTCTTTTTGAAGATTGAAATATTGATTTAAAAAAAAATTTTTTTTCTTTATTGCAGTATATATTAGATAAGAAGTTATTGTCATAGCGATAAAATAGTAACTTATAAAAAAATGAACGAACAGAATAGAATTTTAGAAATGGATATTAATGAAAGTATGGCAGCGTTAATATCATTCTTTGATAACATAAAAATAAATATCAGTATTTTCCGCCATGAATTTACGAAAGCTTATGAATCGTTTACAAAAAAAGCATCTACGTCTTCAACAGATCGAAATAAAAGAATAAGAACAGATGATGTTAAATACAGCAATGTAACAAATTTATACAAATTTTTTATGATGTTATTGACTAATTTTATGAACAGCTTCACCCGAGAATACACCGAAACATTGTCGATGGCAATTGACATAAGTAACCTCAAAGAATCCTACAAAGATATCTTTATGCGCTACTCCAATTTCGATGATATGGACGTCGATCATCTTTACCGATTGGATAAAAAGGTCAGAAGAATTATTGACCGGCACAACAAATTAGCGTTAAAGTACAATGCTAGAATAAGACACTTTGAAACTTTGAGAAGAAATATTCTCAATGGTACCCTCGTTTATAATTCAGACAAAAAACGGTTCGCAGTTTCAGTAAGTGACAAATTGATTAGATTCCAACAAATAATCGCGTCGGATGTTAAGTTCAGAAGAATTCCTATTAATATTGGATCAGTGCAACAGTTTCCACAAGCGATGGAAAATACCGCGAGTCAATTTCAATTTGCTGAGATTTCTCCTCTGGGAGAGTCTAATCTGAGGTTTCTGCCACGGCAGACTCCGAAGGGAAGGAAGAGGAAGGCTGAAGAAAGTGATAGTGATAGATCTGGTTCAGAAGTGCAAGAGGAAAGACCGATAGTACGGAGACGTGCTAGAAGAACCAAAGATCATGAGGTGGTCAAACATTTAGACGATAGAAAGAAGGAAGTTGAAGACCTAATGAAGACAATTGTATCTTATCAATGTCAAAATCTGTTGGCACAAACTCTGGATAATTTGAAAGCTATTCTTCCGTACAAGATTGAAATCTTCGTGGATTATATTAAGATCTTGAAAGAAGATCAAGGTGTTGCTAAAACTTCGACAATTGTTGAAGATATTTTACGAAGACCCAATATCAGATTTCCGCCTATTAGGACTTTTGGAATTACCAATCCTCAAGGTGATTTAAATCCGAGTGTAAAAACTAATCCTCCTCCACAAATGAAGAAGAGAGCTCGGAAATATGCGCTTAATAAAGAGTACAATTGTTTGAAGGCAGAAAATGATATTAAGATAAAAATTCTGAAGGAGGGAATTACGGAATTGGAAGCTTTTGGAAAATCAGTGGATTTGTTGTATCTTCTTGATGATAACTACATTTTGGAAGATTGTAATGAATTTATAGGGAATTTGTGTGAATTTTTGTTAACGGCGTTTGAACAAGCGAGGAATAAGTTTCCAAGTGTGTTGAAAAAAATTCATATTAATGACAACCCACCTTTGGGAGATTGGAAGGATTATCATAATAGGTCAAGTGATGCTAAGGAATTGTTGGTTGAACGGGACCAGTTGGAATGCCAAATGCGAAATTCGTTCAGGTTGTATGACAATGCGGTCAAGAAGCGATACCCGTCTTCTATAACTGATGCAGAAATCAAAAAAATCCAAATAATGAAGGATCGGATTGCAATATTTGTAGAGTCGTGTGTTCAGAATATTAACGACAAAATCCAGGATTTGGAACAAGAAGTTAAGGTTGTTGATGCTAAGATCCGAGTTATTGATAAGGAGAACAAAAGAGATGCGGCGATAAGAAGGAAGAAGTTGTTGTATAAAATTGATGCTGAAGCTGCTGCTACAGCTGCTAAAACTGCTGCTGATGAAGCTGTTGCTGCTGCTGCTACTGCTACTGCCGCTGCAACTTCTGGTGATTCTGCTGCTGCTGTTGCTGCTGCTGTTACTGCTGCCGCTGCTGCTAGTGCTGCGTCTAAGGCTTCTGCTGCTGCTGCTAAAGCTATTCGTGAATCTGCTTCTGTAACTTCTAACAAAGCTGCTGCAACTTCTAGTAAAGCTACCACTACTTCTGGTAGAGCTACCATTGCTAATAAAATTGTTGCTCGTGCTGCTAGTGCTGCTGCCAAAGCTGCTGCTGCTGCTAATGCTGCTGCTGCTTCTGCTGCTACTTTTGGTTATGTTCCTACTACTTCTCATGATCCTGCTGCTGCAATTCCTGATGATGTTGCTGCTACTTCTGGTGATGCTGCTACTGCTACTTCTGGTGATGCTGCTACTGCTACTGCTGCAACTTCTGATGATGATGGTGTCAATATGGCTGATGATAATGCCATGTCTGATGATGATACTGATACTCCAGCTGCTGCTGCTGCAAGCTCTGCTCGTAAAGATTCGCCTTACATTTATGCCAGAAATCCTACCACAGTATCAAAAGACTATAGATATACAAGATTGACCACAAAACATGCGTCAACTATAAAAAGCTACGATCCAGAGCTTTTGTCAAAAGTTGCCGATGAATTGGAGATCAAAATATTCAATCAAGCTCAGGAGCAAACACAGAAGAAAATACTAAGGAGTAAAAGTAAAAAATATAAAACTATGGGTGACTGTAGGAATATACATCTTATGTATGAAAAATTCGATGATGATTTCAAGAAGTTTTTGGAGGATTGGAAGGATAAAATTAAAATTGATAACATGGACATTACTGATTACAACGAAATATCTGAAATACAGAAAAAAATGGAATATATTGAAAAAACTGGCAAGTTAGTCAATAAATCATCTGAGATAGCGTTGTCTTTAGTTTTGAGAAGACCTTTTGATGATGATGATGAAGAATTGGTTAACCTACAAATTGAGTATTTGTCACTTGCTTTAATATTGGGTTATCTTCAAGTACAATACTATGATTATCAGCGGGATAAAGTGATACAAAGTACAATTAAAAATAAAGACTCGAAAGTTGATGAGTTGACCGGGGAAATTGAATATGCTGATAAATGTTTACAGTTGATTATTGTTAAGCTGGAAAAATTTATTCCCGAATAAGATTAATTGGTTGAATTATTTAAAAATTGAGAATATTATTTTTTGGTGGCTTTATTGTTATTATTTTATTAAATATATTTACAAATTGTTAATATATATTTTTTATAAAAAAAATTTAGACTTCATCTTCGCCGCCGACGTCCATTGCGTCCATTGCAACTTCGCGGTAGTCTTTTTCTAGAGCTGATAAGTCATCGCGTGCTTCATTAAATTCACTTTCTTCCATTTGTTCACCGATATACCTGTGAATTAATTTTTATAATTATTCAATTTTTCTGTATCAAAGCTCAAAATTTGTGATCAAAAATTAAAATGACACTAACCAGTGAACAAAAGCTCTGCGACTGTACAAAAGATCAAACTTTCTATTGAGCTGCATCCAGGGTTCGACGATCGCAGTAGTGTTCGCAAGCATCGCTACTGCCCTCTGTACTTTAGCAAGATCTCCTCCCGGAACTACCGTTGGAGGTTGGTAATTTATCCCGACCTAAACAACCAAACATCTAATCAGTTGTTTTTTATTAAGGAGATCCTAGTGTAAAGACCCTCACGGTTTTGGAAATATTTACTATACGATTTGCGGCACTATTGCACCAAAAAAACCGGAAAAGAAGATCCCTTCTTTCTAATACCGGTAAAATACCAAAATTATGCTGCTTTACTACTATTATTCAATAGCTTCATTTTTTTTAATAATTTTATAAATCATCACGAATAATTTTTAAGAGGTTAATAAATTAATTTCTCTATTATTATTATTATAATTTTTTTTTAGTCCAGACCGGGATTCGAACCCGGATGATTTAGTTACGCGCCAAAGGCTCTACCAGTTGAGCTATTTGAGACACTATCCGTAACTATTTATTCAGTCACCTAATAAGACCCACCGAGTAATAAACACCACCGTCCATCTTACGGTAAAAAGCATTATATCTTTAATTATATCAGTATAAACGCGGCAAAATTGCAGTATATCATCGGTATTTTTACCGTAGAAATACCATTTTATTATTGTAAAATTATAGTAATATTATAGTTAATACATAGATTTTTTACGGTAAAAGTTCTAGAGTTTTACGGTAATTTTATCGTATTATTTCTGAACTTTGCAGCAAAAGTACCGTAAAAATGCTGTATAACTATAGTAAAAAAAACTGGCCAAAATAACCACAGGAATACCGTATTATTTCAGAATTATAACGGTAAATTTATGGTAAACGCATTAATACCAAAAAACGATAATTATTTTTTATAACTAATTTTTTATCGTGATAAAAATATTTTTTATACATTTATTAATTTATTTCATCTAAAATCTAATCTATATTACAAAAAAGCCGATTATTTATCTTAAATGACAAAATAAATTTAGTTTCAAAAATTTCTGTAAGATGGCGTCGCGCACCGGATAGAGTACTACGTCACTGGCCCGCCAAAATTCAAATTTAAAAAAATAACCTGAACAAATAAATTATCTGAATATTTTTCTTTTGGTTTACACAAACCTTGATAAAAGATTGCTATACGGGAAAGAGTTTTTCTGTCTCAAAAATGTTATTAATTAATTTAAAAATTAATTTTAACACACCAAAAAGAATTTCTACCTATTATTTTTATAGACATTCTTTCCACTAGGAGGGTACTTGGATATCCCAAAATTTAAACAAACCTTGAATCCAGTTGGACACCAATCAACAAACTGTATCCCCCTTTTGCTCTTCATGCTAGCAATACTAGCATTAACATCCTTAGGAACAACATCGCCGCGATAGAGCAAGCAGCAGGCCATGTACTTTCCCTTCCTGGGGTCGCACTTGACCATTTGGTTCCCGGGTTCGAAGCAAGCCGCAGTGAGCTCCATCACACTGAGCTGCTCATGATAGGCCTTTTCCGTGGAAATAATTGGCGCGTAGGTTGCCAAAGGAAAGTGGATCCTGGGATAAGGCACCAAATTCGTCTGGAACTCGGTCAGGTCGACGTTGAGCGCTCCGTCGAACCTCAGAGACGCGGTGATCGACGACACTATCTGCCCAATTATCCTGTTAAGGTTAGTGTAAGTTGGCCGATCGATGGTAAGACACCGACGACAGAGATCGTAGATCGCTTCATTATCGACCAGAAAAGCGCAGTCCGAGTGCTCCAGTGTGGTGTGCGTCGTCAAGATGGCGTTGTAAGGCTCCACCACCGCGGTAGAAATGTGAGGGGAGGGATAGATCGCGAACTCCAGCTTGGACTTCTTCGCGTAGTCCTGCGACAGCCGTTCCATCAAAAGAGAGGTCAGTCCAGAGCCGGTTCCTCCGCCGAACGCGTGGAAGATCAGGAATCCTTGCAAGCCCTCGCACTTATCGACGACGTGCCGCAACTTGTCCAGCACCTCGTCGATAATCTCCCGGCCGAGGCTGTAATGCCCTCTGGCGAAGTTATTAGCGGCGTCTTCTTTACCGGTTATCATCTGGTCAGGGTGGAACAGCCGGTGGTAAGTTCCCGACCGTACTTCGTCGATAACTGTTGGCTCCAAGTCGATAAGAACTGCTCTTGGGATAAAATGACCCGTTTCTGTTTCGTTGAAGAATGTCTGGAACCCGTCGTTTGATTCTGGAGAGGGACACACTCCGTCTGGTTGAATTCCGTGCTCCAGGCAGTACAGCTCCCAGCACGCGTTGCCCATTTGCACGCCGCCTTGACCGATGTGGATTGATATTACTTCACGCTGAAAAGGAGGAATTGTTAGGCGGTCCACCTCTTATGAGAGGGGGAATTTTTGAAGGGTTCTATTTAAATTATTTGTGGAAAATTTAGAGGTTTTATTTTAGTTTGATATTAAATTTTTAAAAAATTGCATTTGGCGCGAAATATATTGATTGAAAAAATTTTGTTAATTTTTAAAATTAAAAGCTTAAATTAAAAATGAAGAAATTATATTAACTTTAAGATAGATTTTATCTATTTTTTGATATTTAGAAAATAATTTTCATAAAATTGATATTTAAAATTTTTATAAATAATTTAAACTAGCGACCTGGCAGTCACTACGTGACTGCCGTGACTAGTGATATATAAATCCGAACAAAAACAGTTTCACCGTAAAAAAAATCGCGCCAAGTCCACGTTCATAAGACTATTAAGAAAAAATAATTAGTTTTTTCTTTACAAAAAGATATAAAATTAAAAAATTAAAAAATCCAAGTAACCGATATATGATTGTTTATGATTTTCGGAAATTAAAAAAAAATTTTGTTGTAAATTTAAAAATTAAAAAAACAATTTTGGAACGTATTTAGTGTGCGTTGTTGCAAAATATTTTACTTTTAATTAAATTCGTAAAATCTATTTAATAGGACTTTAAAAAAATTGAAATGCAAAATATGACGCACACCAAGTACGTTCCAAAATTGTTTTTTTAATTTTTAAATTTACAAAAAAATTTTTTTTAATTTCCGAAAATCATAAACAATCATATATCGGTTACTTGGATTTTTTAATTTTTTAATTTTATATCTTTTTGTAAAGAAAAAAAACTAATTTTTTTTTCTTAATAATCTTATGAACGTGGACTTGGCGCGATTTTTTTACAGTAAAACTGTTTTTGTTCGGATATTAGTATTTTTTGTAATTATAATAAAAACTTACAATTGGTACCAACTTAAATCTCGCGTTAGCTGCATTTTTT